GTAGATACATTTTCAGAAATTATATTGCATGCAAATATAAATGGAATACATTTTGTAGCATTCAGTTAATTGATGTTGTTGCATAACAAATTAATGATGTTGGTCCTTGTACTGAAATGTTTCTTCTCTTTTTCTCAGGGGTGATCTTGTTAGCACGATTAACTACCAAGCACATGCAGGAGGCAATTACTATGTTAAAGTAATAATTTCCAGCCCACTATACAGCAGTCCTTTCAGTCGATTGCTTCCAGGTGTTGTAAAAGTAAGAACTCCCATTGTGGGTTTACAGGCATTATTCCCGTTTAATACTAATAGTGCGAAGCTTCTGCTACAGCCAGATGGTAGCTATGCCACTCAGATCTTGGGCTTTAGTGCTCATACCTTTTCTGAAGAAGTCAAGTTTTCATTTGACTTTGGAGATGGCTCACCGCGACTTATTGTCAGTGGAATGCAGAGTAGCTTTGACGGTACATTTGCTTCTGGACGACACAAGTTTACCAAAGGTTGGTGAGCAGATTGTTTCTCTTGACTCCCTCACAACAGATGCCATTATAATGAATTGTTCTGTCCTGATTGATTAACATCCACCATCCCCAAAAGATTATTCCATGTAATTTTGCAGCTTCAATCGGTCCTCTGTTAAGTAGCATTCCAATGGCACAGTTTGTCCACATTGATTCGAAGAGTGTTCAATCCTGCAGTATTTTGTAAATTGACTTTTAGATTTGTCAGGCAACTCATCACTGAGAAGAGTTTAATTGGAAAGGAGAGTTACTGTGCTCCGTTTCTCTCTCGCCCCACGAGGCAGTGGTCTAGAAGGTGTCATCTTCATATCTATACAGGTCAACAGGAAACAAAATAGGAGTTAAGAAAAATATATATAAATGCAATCTACCTACAAAATACTGAAATCTTTTAAATTTTAATTATGTGATTAGTGTCATAACTACTTGCATATTCAGTCCAGAGAGATTGAGGGGAATTTAAATTCATAGAAGTGCCTTTCATATAACCTTCTTTTCAGAATATTAAGTAGAATACTATTAGTTCAAACATGCTCTTTTAGTCTGACAATATGAAACAATTTATTCACAAAAAAAAGGGAAAATCAAGTGTAGCTTGATACCTGAGTATCCAAATAGTTTAGCTTTCAAATCAGAAGCGGCTGCCAACAGATGTGTTTTGGCGCCTTGGCACAGAAATAGATGTATCATTAGACACTCACTGAAATGGGAAGCTGTATTTAAATAGGTTAGGAGGCCTGTTGAATAAAGTGGAGATAGAAGGATACAGGCGAGAAAGGGTGCTTAGAGTTAGGCCAATTGCTTGTGTTGGGCACGAACGTCACCACTATCTGGGATGGCCCTGCAGTTGGATACTCTTCCTATTGAGCACCGGGTCCTGTGTGATCCCCGTAGTTGTGCTGACTGAGCTGACCTCCTATAATCCTTCTCAGTCACTTCTCACTACCACTCACTGGCAAGGCTAGCATTTATTGCCCACCCAAAATTGCTCTCGAGAAGACTTTGATCCTTTTTGAACCACTGCAGCCCATGTTGTGTAAGTGTGCTTTCAGTGCTCTGAGCCAGGATCTTGATCCAGTGACAGTGAAGAAATAACAGTATATTTCCAAGCCAGGATGGCATGTGACTAGGAAGGGAAAGTGCATTGCATGGCATTATCACAACCTGCAAGCTGGATTTTTCAGCAATTTTTGGTATAATTTTGGTCAATTCGTTTAACTGTTTCAAAGAAATCTGACTAAAACAGCCACTAGCATTTTCAGGCCACGTTTGACACGCGTCAACTGAGTTACTCAGTTAAACAGCAAAAAGCATTGTCAAAGGGAAGAGTTTCATGAAGCTTTTTAAGGACACAGAGCATGTTATAGGGCAGATTCCAGAAATGAAGATGGCCAAATGCAAGGCAATTAAAAGTTAGTTGAAGAAAATCTGAAGTACCAGATTTGAAAGAATACAGAGATCTTATGGGGTTTTCAGGCTGGGGAAAGTTACAGAGGTGAGGAGCAATGGGACAATGGAGAGATTTGGAAAAAGGATGTGAACTTTAAAGATGAGGTGCTTAAAATTGAAAAGCTACACGCATTTGTTACTTAAAACATTAAAGAAATTCCTTTACTCTTGCAGTTTCCAAATTAAATGCAGCATTTGCTGTCTCTCACATTGTTGCGAGGATTAGATTCAGGTATAAGTAAAGTACTTACATAGCTCATAATTATCTCAATCTTTGTGTTATCGTCTCTCCTCTCCCACAAGTTCAGCCTGTAGTTTCTTGCATAGTTTCAGTACTTTAAAGTTGAAGTAAAGGTTTTGTAAAACAAAGGATTCGCGACAGACTGGGAGATTTCTTGTAGCTGAATTTGTAAGAGGTTGATTGTCAGGTGAATTTTAAATTGGATTCTCATCTGTTTGCATCACCTGCTTTCAAGGTACTTTTGTTCATTAATATGGCTGCTTGACGGTTGGCAGGTAATTTGTGACATTTCTGACAGCTGAACTGTGAGTTCAATAACTCTCAGGTGGAACTGTCTGCGAACAGCAATTAACTGCTCCTTTAGTAAACCAAGAAAACATTGCTTTTCAATTTTTCAAGTCCAAAGTCATTTCCAAATTAGGGGTGATGTTCATGTTGATTCCTCTATTTTGTGTTGTGGTTTAATAGCTTTGTGAGTTTAAGACAGTCATCAGTACACAATAGGACTTCCATCTGCCACCACTTGAGTTTTGATCTCTGCATTTGCTTGGAATGAACCCTGGAGATTCCCTACATCAGACAATCTTAGTCCTTTTGTGTTGACCAATCCTCAAACAAAGAGATGCATGAATATTCTGGATGATTGGGAATGCGTACATTCAAATAGATTTTTTTTCCTGAAACTTGGAATTTGAGTTAACAAGAGCACCAAAGGTCACATGATGGGGGATTCTCACAGTGAAGAAGTGGAAGTGGAAAGAGAAGCCATTGCAGCTGATTCTGTGGGATAGATAGGAATGGGACTAGGCAAGGGCAGTCCCACACTGGACCATAAGATTGCAAGAACAGAAGTAGGACATTTGACTCATTGGGTCTTCTCCGCCTTTTGATAATTATCAACTTCCCCGCCTTTTCCTGATAAACCTTGATCCTCTTATCGAGTAAAACTCTGTCTATCTCAGCCTTGAATATATTTAATGAACCAACCTTCGCCTCTGAGGTGAAGAATTCCATGTATTTGTTAGACTGTAAGAGAAGAAATTTTTCTTCATCTGTGTCTTAAATTTGCGACCCCTTATTGGTGAACTGCAAGCCTTGAGGGGGAAAGAAAAGTCCCTGCTTAAGGTAGCTCTGATAGAACTTAAATTGTAGATTTCTGCTGAATGCCAATTACAAACTACAAACTAAATTAGCTAAGTGTAAGTTAAAGATTTAGAATTTCTTACTCAGGAAATATATGTACTCTGCCTTGCTCAGTGGTGTTGTAAGAGGATGGCATAATCGACATTGTTAGAGATTGCAGACAGTTGGAGGAGGTTGTAGTGGGGACTGATTTAATGTGAGCGTTATTCCTGACTCTTCAGATACTAAAACAGTCCTGCAGCAACATCCAAACTTGGTTATAGTGTATGTGACATTTGTGCCACACAAGTGCCATGACTATCTTCAACAAGAGAGAATCTAATCATCACCTCTTGGCATTACCATCAATGAATCCTCCATTGTCAACATCCTGGAGGTTGCCTTTGACCAGAAACTAGACTAGGCCAAGCATACGTAAATACTGCAGCTATCAGTGCAGATCCAAAGCTGGGAATTCTGCAGTGAATAATTTGTCTCCTGACTCCTCAAAGCCTATCCACCATCTACAAGACACTCGACAGATGTGTAATGCCATAATCCCCACATGTCTGGATGAGTGCGTCTCCAACACCACTCAGGAAGCTCCACACCATCCAGGACAAAGCAACTTAATTGATTGACAATGCACCAGTATTTCTAACATTCCTGCCCCACGTGGTATAAGATAGTTAAGAGAGTTGCTCATTACTCCTGCATTACAGACAATCTGAAAGAATTAACACAATCCTAATCTGCCACGTTTACAGTCACAAAAAACATTCACTTGTGATTTTGATTGCAGGCAGCTGGAGGAGGATGTGATGGGGACTGATTAAATGTTGAGAATTACTTGTGATTCATTGCAATGGTGTAGTTCAAACATAGAGTTTCAGGAAAGCTTAGAACACTTTGAAGGACGTGACACATATTACAGAGAAAGAATTTACAGTTCATACAGCCTTACTCTGAAAATATTTAATTGATTACATTTATTTCAGTTATTTCAATTTTTTGCATGCTTTTTAAAAATTTTTTCCCTATCTCAGTAATAAAGTTGTAAGTACATATCTACGTTTTGCTGATGATATCCGTATTTTGAACTTCCTTTGACAGAGGGTGTGTTCTACATCACAGTCTCAACCTTCAATGAGTTCTACAATGCTACTAAAGAACTTGGTGCTTATTATGTGCAATTAGTTCCAGAAAGCCTGCTATTGACCATGAATTCCAGTGTAATCCACAAAAATGAAGTTATTCTGTTCAGTGCAATACTGAGGAAAGGAACTGATGTGACTTACAGCTGGAACATGGGTGATCAAACTTCCTACGTAGATGAAGGTAAATTAAGAAAAATGAATTCGCCCTCACATGAAAACTTCAATACATTTAAAAGACTAAATATTACAAGGCCTCTTTTGTGGCATTTCAGTATTATTCTTTCTGTGTGATTCATGTTAGGATCTCCTTTCTGCATTTCAGGTCCTATAATCAGGCACAAGTTTTTGTCAGCTGGAATCTACAATGTCACAGTAAATGCAAGGAATAAAGTGGGGCTGGTCTCGACTTGCGTAAATGTAGCTGTGCTCTACAGAATGCAGCGTATGAAATACCTTTGCAGTCTCTTTTACATGACTGTAATAGGACATTTTTAATATGAGTAAATAATGACTCAGGTGGGGAATGAGAGGTGGGGGTAAGTGGACTTAATATTGCACTGGGTTTTTTGAATTTGTTTATGGGAAGTGAGCATTGCTGGCTATGACAAATTGCCTTTGAGAAGCAATTGTGAGCTCTGTTCCTGAACTGCTGCAGCCTGATTGGGTGTTGTTGGGGGGGGCGCGGATGCTACTGTTTTAAAAATGTATGGGTTAGGAAGCGAACTTCAGGATTTTGAGCATGTTTCTGCTGACCTTGTGCTTCTAAATGGCAGAGGTTGCAAGTTTGGAAGTTGCTGTCAAAGGAGCCTTTGTGAGTTGCTACCACAGCACATCAGTGGTGAAGGCACTGAATGTTGAGGTGGTAATTGGGATGCCAGTCAAGAAAACTATAATATCTTGAACAGTGAGACAACAAGGTGCAGGGCTGGATGAACACAGCAGGCCAAGCAGCA